TGTGTATGATGTCAGTGTTTTGGGTGGGCAGTTGGATGTACAGCTGACCCTTGACCAACGCTGGCATCGTCTAACGATAAAATCGCCTAACGATGCATTTCTGCATAAAAATATTGGCTTGACCTACGGTGAAAAACTCGGGTAACAACATTCGTCCCGAATGTGTCTGCCTGTCCGTTCAGGCTGAGCACGCCTCAGCCGCCCTACCTTCAGCTAGTGTGCCATTGTTTACAAGCCAGGGTGGACGGTTTCACGCATACATTCGATATATTTTGTACAGTGGACCCCCGCATACCGTACGCATCGCATACCGTACAATCCGCATACCGGACGCTTTGATCGCAAAAATTTTGCCTCGCATACCGCCCAAAAACCCGCTCACCGCCCTTCGTCCGAGACGCGTCCAATGTGCGGCCTGAGCCACGCTCACATGTTCCGCCGGTGGCATTGTTTACAGTGTTTTTGGTGATTTTTTCTGGAAAATAAGTGACCATGGGCCCCAAGAAAGCTTCTAGTGCCAACCCTACAGCAATAAGGGTGAGAATTACTATAGAGATGAAGAAAAAGATCATTGATAAGTATGAAAGTGGAGTGCGTGTCTCCGAGCTGGCCAGGTTGTATAATAAACCCCAATCAACCATCGCTACTATTGGTGGTACAGCTGCTGCTGCTGCACTGTCAGCTGCTGCTGCTGCTGTAGCATCGTCTGCTGCTGCTGTAGCATCGTCCGCTGCTGCTGTAGCATCGTCCGCTGCTGCTGTAGCATCGTCCGCTGCTGCTGTAGCATCGTCCGCTGCTACTGTAGCATCGTCTGCTGCTGCTGTAGCATCGTCTGCTGCTGCTGTAGCATCGTCTGCTGCTGCTGTAGCATCGTCTGCTGCTGCTGTAGCATTGTTCAAATATACACTCATTGTTTATAACATAATAGCTGAACAAACATTATCACTATTAGATTGTGTACAAAACTTGTTTACACAAACAATACAAAACATTGTTTATTACTATTGTTCCATAATATACATATACATATGTACAGTCACTGAACACTTTTCTAGAACTGCTGGAGCTTGTGGAACTCTTTGAAACATGGGTATATGCAGAGTGGTACCCGACACTCCTCACACATAAAACGAGTGTCTCTGCGTGTTTGTGGGCATTTTGTGGTATGTCCACATACAAAACACATCTTCTGAGCACTTTTCTTGAAAGCAGTAGGAGGCAGTTGTATGGGGTAGTGATCACCAGGCCTCAAACGAGATGGTGTGTGTTGGTAATTTCGTAGGCGCTGGTCTATTGCAGGTGTTGCTCCTTGGTACTTGGCGATTATTTGTCTGTTGACTGACAAACAAAATTCACCATATTTTGGTGTTTTGTTGGTCCTCAACTTGTATATGTTATAAGCATTTAGCATGGAAATATCAAGAAGATAGAAAAAAAAGTTTCATATACCACTTGTAATTCTTGCGTACACAATCAGCAAACCCAATCTGCATGTCACATTTGTCCACTAAGCGCATATTGAGGTTGTAGTCCATGACAGCTGTAGGTTTTAGAATGGGTTCATTGGTCTCTCTGTTGTGCCTGCCAGTGTGTGCCATTTTGTTTCGGTGAACTGATGTTAACAATGTGACATCACATTTGTCATGCCACCAAAATGCCATGATGTCATTGGGAGCAAAGGCCTGCACCTCACCTCTGCGAGTGCCAGAGTCGAACCTTGGCATATGCTTACGACTACCATGCACTGTGCCACACACGTCTGTCAGGTTCACTCACAAGAAATCACTGAGTATGAGGCTTGTGTACCAGTTATCAGCATATAATATTTGCCCCTTACCAAGATATGGTTCCATCATTGTTCTAACCACATCACCAGAGATACCCAATAACTTCCTGGTATCTCTCAATGTATTACTGCCAGTGTACACAATGATATCCAAAATGAGACCACTTTTGCACTCACACAGTACAAATAACTTATAGCAAAGCGTTTCCTCTTGCTTGGTATTTATTGCTTGATTGAGAGTCTTCCTTTGAATAAAATCAAAGACTCGTCAATAACAAGATTCCTGAAGGGATAAAAATACATGCAACACTTTTGTTTCAGGTACATAAGCACATTTCTGATCTTATATAACCTGTCGCTTCTGTCAGGCCTTGTTTTGTCTGAAAAGTGTAACATACGTTACAGTATCAAAAACCAATTCACACCTATAATGTCACTAAAATCTGGGGTTGAAATCAGGCGTTCTGTTGCCCAGTATGTGGTGACAGTGTGCTTATACACATGTGGCATAAGCATTATTGTGGTAAAAAACAAGTACATCTCTGCCACAGTTGTGTCCTTCCACTGGTGTAGCCATGATTTTGGTGAGAACTGTATCTGCCATGGTGTACTTATAGTATGTGTTGGTTTCCCTGACAATAATGTCCATCAGGGGTTCATCGAAGAATAACTCAAAGCATTCCAGTTCAGTAGCATTTTTGTACCACTGAATATATCATTGCTTAGTTAATCATAAGTTAATTTTAAGCCTGCCCATAATGCTCTGAAAACAAAGGGCTTTGGCATGCTGCACTTTAAAAATTGCATTCCTTGTACTTCTCTGCATCATGTTCAAATTAAATAAATAAATAAATAAATAAATAAACACTGATTGTACAGCAATGCAAGCAACCATACGACCTGTTTTTGTAATACTCATTTGTGCTTAATTATTATCTCTTTACAATAATGTTTTACCACTGAATACTTCATTGCTTAGTTAATCTTAAGTTAATTTTAAGCCTGCCCGTAATGCTATGCATTCAAGTGGCTTTGGCATGCTGCATTTAACTGTATTCTTTTGTACTTCTCTGTATCATGTTCAAATAAATAAATAAACAAATAAATAAATAAATTGTTCCCAAGTGTACACGATGGCCGTATTCCACTTTGTGTTTCATCAAAGTCATGGGGACTGGGAACAAACGCGTCACCTTCCTGCCAATCCCAGATGCGGTCTGCTGGTGGGTTCTGGATATTGAAACACGGTTGTGGTTGTGCAGGTTGTGGGAGTGTGGGGTTGGGTGAGGCTGGTTGTAGTTGTGCAGAGTCAGCAGCATCAGTAGTAGCGTGGCCTGCTGCTGGTGCCACATGACTCATGCCACTATCACTATCACCACCACCACCTGCTGCCTCACTCACATCATTCATACCCATCGTAACAATATCGTCATCTTCACTATCAGGTTGTGGTGAAGGGCCACGGGATGCACTCCGAGATTTACTCCTTCCCCTTGGAACAGCATATGACACACTACCAGACCGCATGCTATGTCGTACATACTGCCGCTTCACTGGGGAATATTCACCCTCACTGTCGCAACTAGAACTGCTTTCAATAGCTTTGAAATCACTATCACTATCACTTTCACATCTGAGTCTTGTACACGGGCAAATAGTTTCCTCTTTCGTCCTGGTACAGGTGAACGAGAACGAGCCGGCCCAGCACCAGAGGTGGAAGGTCATGGGTCATCTGGGTTTTCACCACTAATTACGCTATCCTGGGCGCTGTTTTCGGTCACACCCACTTGAAAACCATGGAATTCACTTTCACTGACACTTTCATCGCTGTTAGAGCTATCGCTTGGGAACAAAAGACCTCCAATCCACCGAGGAGTGAGATACATGTACTTTTTACTGCGAGGCATGGAGAAAATTGACTACCAAGATGGCATTCCCACAATGCACCACTGAGTCCCAGATTTTTTTCACAGGGTGCACACCCACCACACAACACCTATTCTCTCTCATGTAGGCCTACCAGCTTTCTCCTGCTTGATTTGAAGCTGTTAGAATTTACACGTATAAATACGTCAGAAACAGTGGCGCTTAAGACATATATATACGACCGAAACAGTCAAAGGGTTAATCTTGTCCCCCAGGATGCGACCCACTAACACCCAAGTGAACAGGAAAAAATGCCTGGAACCAATGCTTGTATTGATGAATTTAAGGCCAGCAAAGGTTGGTTTGAGAGATTTAAGAATCATAGTGGTATATACAGTGTGATAAGGCATGGCAAAGCTGAAAAATTCCAACCACAACAAGTGTTCAACTGTGATGAAACAGGCCTGTTCTGGAAGAAAATACCAAACAGGACCTACATTACTCAGGAGGAAAAGGCACTCCCAGGACACAAGCCTATGCAAGACAGGCTAACCTTCTTCTTCTGTTGTAATGCTAGTGGGGATTGCAAAGTGAAGCCTTCACTCATGTCTCACTCTGAAAATCCCAGTGTTCAAGAAAAATAGTGTCTCATCACTCATCAATAGTCTTCAATAAAGGTAAGTGTCAGTTTAGTATTTATTTATGTATTTATTGTGCATGTCACATTGTTTTCTTTGAAGAGAAATGAATATTTCATGAAAAAAAAATTATTTTTTTTATCACATAAAAAAGGCACAATACCGTGACTGGAACAATACACAAATAACTCGCACATAGAAGAGAGTGACTTTGTAAATGGTCCAAGTCGGACCGAAACGTCGTCGTAAGCTCCTCTCTTTTATGTGCGGGTTATTTGTGTATTTTTGCTAATACTTTGGGCTGTCTGGAACAGATTAACTGGATTTCAATTATTTCTTACAGGGAAAATTAATTCGGCTAACGATAAATTCGGCTAAGGACAAGCTCTCTGGAACGGATTAATATCGTTGGTCGAGGGTCCAATGTATATGTATTTTCTACCCGTTCACTGTCCACTAATGTGTGTTCAACTGGCATTATGAATACCACTGTGAAGTGTTTTCCCCACAAAGTACAGTGCCTGCACTCTAAAGGAGGGTTTTGGTTTATTTGCTGTTTGCAGGGACATCAAAACTGTCACATCAGCATGCCTCTGGGAAGACAGTGACAGTGTGAATGATGGTCAAAGTGTCACCCTGCCTTGGTGGGGGATGGTCAGCGTGCTGAAAAAACTACAATACAAACAAATGAAAAGTAATTATTGTATTAACCCATCATCAAGTAATTCTTGTTTTCTAGTGAGCAATCCAGATCCTGGCATGACATCTCCAATGCCAATGGAGAATCCTCTGTTCATAAGGAAGAGTGTGGAGACTCTTGCTACTCTCCACATAGCATCAGCAGCATGATCTTTCCCATAGTCCTTCATGATGACATAGAAAATATTCTTCTTTGAACCTGAGCCCAAGAGAGACTTATCTAAAGCACCAGCAAGAAGCTCAGAGTTTCTAATAATGACCCAGGCTTCATTAGAGCAGAGTTCCTCTCCTCGTGTGTAGTCTTTTCTCTTCGTCGTGAGATTACACTCAACGGGAAACTTCTTACTGGGTCTTATTATCACACTAAAGATCTGCTTCCCTGTCCACAGTTGCTGAGGCTGTAAAAAAAGTTTGCAAATGTATACTCAACTCTACAAACAATTAATGTCAATTAAGTAATCATATATTTCATGCACCATCTAGCAGCAGCATTCTAGCTCTGCTATTTTCTTCAGCAACCAGGGCCCATCAAAGCTTCTGATTGCAGGTACAACTGCACAGACCTACGTAGAACCCAAAATGACCCAAGAATCCTAACAGTGCTACCCAAAACTTGATAAAACTGACTATCTAAGGAAGACAGCCCTGTAAACCCAAGCACTGCCCCACTGCCAGACAAACACTTAACCCAAGCTCTGTGCATATAAAGGTCTCCCCTTCATCACTTCATCATAAACTACTTCAATGATTTTTTTTTTCCACAGGGTTTGACAAGGTTGAGAATCCCTAGCTTCATTGACAAGCTATTTGCAGGTTAAGGATTCCTAACTTTATTGGCAAGCTAAGAGCTGTTACCTACATCAGCTCATTTGAAAGCATTTTTATTGTTATGAGACATACAAGTAGGGAATAGGATGAAGTTGGAGCCATCTGTGGGCCAGCATTTTCATTTGATCAAATGACTTTATCTCGTTGACATCATTATGCTGTACGAATGTGTTCCATACTCGAGTCATCCTGGGTATATATAATCTCAGATGGAGTGATGTTCTGGAGAAGGGTACAGCCAGAGTGAAGTTGCTGCTTTCTGCCCATCTTGTGGCATAAAAGCTTGTTTCACGCTGTCCTCAAAGTGGATCCAAGTGTGGTACCTAGACAATATTGGCCTTGTACATAACAGTAAGGCCACCCACATCCCTCCTGTGTTGAAGGCTCTGCTGAAATGACAGATCTATCCAGGATGGGTCTAAGCGAGAGATGAGACGTCATGCTCTGTTCACTACTCTGTCAAGCAGTCGCAGATGAGAGGGGGGCAGGCAAACCAAGAAAGTGGAGCATACTCAAGGTGTGAGTGTACTTGTGCCTCGTACAGAATCTTGCAACCCCTACTGTCAAGCAGAAGCGAAATACAGCGAAGTGCTGTAAGCTTCCCGGCTGCCTTGTTTACAAGATTTACAACATGGCTCTTCATGGCTAGTTTGGAGTCAAATTTCACCCCAGGGATATCAACTTCTTCTCCAGGTGCCAGCACCCTCCCATTCATCCTTACTACTGCACCAGCATTGCCATCATGGTGCCTAGAGACGATCATCATTTGCGTTTTCTCAGGTGCAAATGTTACTTGCCATCTATTTCCCCAAGCTGATATAGCTCTTAGCTGGTGATTGATGTAGCTTAGAGCAACTGGCATTTCTTCTCTTGGATTAAGTGAATGTCAGTGTACAGTAGTCTGCATATGCATGTGATTCTGGGACGAGATGAAGGTCATTGAAGTAGACATTCCATAACAATGGTCCCAGCATGCTTCCTTGTGGAACACTTGCTCCAATAGAATGTCTTGCTGACTCTGTTCCACTGAGAGCTACACTTAGAGATCTACCATGAAGGTAAATCACTGAGGAGACATAGCGTTAGAGCCTGCAATTCCCAGTGCTTGAAGTTGTGCTAAGAGGCCCTGGTGCCACACCCGGTTGAAAGCGCCAGCAATGTCCAATGCTACCACACAGCTGACTTTGGATTCATCCAGTGACTGGTGCCACTTAGTGGAGAGTTTAACAACAGATCAGCAGCAGAGTATCCTTTCCTGAAGCCATATTGACGATCACAAAGTAGTGAGTGGTAGTCAAAAAACTCTGTCATTTGTCTTGAGATTATTGTCTCAAGGATCTTACCAGTGATTGACAGGAGTGACACTGGTCTGTAGTTGCTGATTTCTGCTCTGCTCTTCTTTTTGTGAACAGGGACTACATTTGCCTCTTTCCATAGAGAGGGCCATTTACACTGTACTAGGCAGTGCTGAAAGATGTGAGTTAGAGGTACTGCTAGCTGGTCTGCACATCTTCTCAGCAATCTTAGGCTCAACTTGTCTGGGCCCACAGCCTTTTCTTGGTCAAGCGATTTAAGAAGGAAATGCACCTCCTCCTGCCTTATTGTCACCACTGACAGTTTTGACACAGTTCTTGCAGCTAGCCAAGGAGGATCCCTTGCTGGATCAGGAACTTGCATTTTGGTATCAAAGTTTTCAGCAAAGAGGTCCGCCTTCTCTTGACTACTAGTAGAGGTGGTCCCATCTGTCGATTTAGAGGTGGAATGAGTTCATCAGGCAGATAACCTTGTCTGTCCTTGACCAGGGACCACCAGGTTTTGGAGCCTACCCTACCTGATGCTAGCTTTCTTTTAGTGTCCACCTCCCATTTAGCAATTGCCCACTTTTGAACGTCACCCATATGCCTACAGGCTTGCCCGTGCAAGTTCCTGTTATAGGTGGTAGGATGTCTCTTATACCTTCGCTATGCTTTGTACTTAGCAGTAGCAGCGTCTCTACAACTAAAGCCAAACCAAGGCTGAGCTGTAGGCTTCATCACATATTGCCAGTGAGGAATGTGTTCTTGTTGTAGATTAAGGGTGTGTCCAGTGAAGGATTTCACTTGGTTGTCAACATCCCCTTGGAGAAGAGCATTCCAATCGGTGGTGGCGAGCTCAGAGCAAAGGGCTGGCCAATTACCTCTTTCCCATAGCCAGGTTGTGCATGTGGACTCCTCACCTCGTTCTGTTGGGATCTTAAATGTCGTAAAAACGGCCTTGTGGTCAGATGATCCAACGTAGCCGAGGGGTTGACAAGTGACTATGCCTTCTGCCAGATCACTCACTACTTATCTTAGCAATAGACACCAGTATGTATACACAAATGGCATTACTTCCAATACACAACCTGTTCTTGTTGGAGTCCCACAGGGTAGTGTCCTGGGCACACTTCTCTTTTTCATTTACATCAATGATTTCCCAAACACATCTAAATTCCTTAAACCTGCTTTATTTGCAGATTACACTACTCATGTTTTCTCTCCTCAAACCCAACTACACTAACAGACACTGTAAATGACGAACTACTAAAAATATCTACTTGGATGACGACCAACATATTTACTCTCAATACAGACAAAACCTATTTCATGCTATTTGGAAACAGAGCTTCAAATGTTCAGCTAAACATATTGATATATGGTTCCCCATTTCAAGACACAAAGAGGGCAAATTTCTAGGTCTCCACCTGGACTGCAGTCTCAAATTTCAGACATACATCAAATATTCAAGGCATCCTTTATAAGATACGGTACTATATACCCCAAATGGCACTTCTTGCTCTTTACCACTCTCTCATCTACCCTTACCTCACCTATGGTATTTGTGCAAATCACCCAACAAAAACCTGCAGTGCGATTCATTACCAACTCCTGCACTAGGCAACACACTCCACCTCTTTTAAGAGCCTAAAATTACTTAATATACAAAACATTTACACCCAATATTGTGCCTACTACATACACAGATCATACTCCAATATTAACCCTCCTCTCAAACTCCTCCTTGATAACTAAAACAGAACACACAGGCATAACACAAGGCACAAAACACTCTTTGAGATCCCTCGTGTCTATCTCTCCCTATGCAAAAATGATATGCACATAAAGGGCTTTAAGATCTGGAATTCACTGCCAGAACATACTAAAGGGCCCCTGCCTGTGAATCAATTTAAGGGCCTACTGAGAAATCACCTCATCATTTAAAATTTACCAAACACTATACACCTACCAGTTGCTCAAGAACTCCTAAATAATTAATGATTACTCAACTATTTAATCATTACTTCAAACTTAAAACTGTTTCAATTTCATTATTATAAACTGTGCCAAATTGTAAGTCTGTAATTTTTTATATACTTCATTTCAACTACAAATTTAATTACTGTAAACAACTAGCTACCTCTACTGTAATAAGAAAAATGATGTATAATAAAAATTTACTCTCAAAATCGCTAGTATTAAGTAGTCTGTAAGCATTAGGTTTAGTCTGCCCGAAATGTCAGGCATGATAATGGCTTTTTTTGTACTTAACAAATCAAAATTGTAATCACACATTGTAAACATTGCAAAGAAATAAAATCTTTACCTTTATATTCTAATTTCTATACTCCTTATTCATTACTTAACAGTCACATAAAACACTGACCTTGTCAGGAAAACACAGTGGATGTGAACCCCAAATGAGGGTTTAAAAATATATTACAATTCAATCCCATTTTCCAGTTAAAATTTAGGTGTGACCAAGAGCTCGAGTGCATTGTTCACACACTTGAAAGGGTAATTACAAATACAGGTCCTCCATCACAAATCCGGCATCATTGGGACCTGTAGTGTGCCGGATTACCGAGTTTGCCGGATTACAAAGTGGTTAGGTTAGAATACACTTAATAAAATTAACCAACATGACTTACACAATTCATTGAACATCGGCAAAAATCGAACATTTCCGCTACTTTGAGCTCAATTTCAAAGTACTTTTCGTCATGAAAGCAATCAAAATCATGTCTATTTCTATAATATATCTTCCATTCTATCAAATGAGTCCAAAAAATGAGAATACAACCATTAAAACCATACGAAAATATACTGCAAAGAGGTGGCTAATGGCTGAGAAGATAACTCCCTTATTATCGTCCGTCTTTTTTATTTTTGTTGTATGTTAAAAAGCATCTTTTCATCATACACTGCCCAAGATTCAATGAGATAGCCCAACAAACAACCAAGAAAAACAATGTTTACCAAAAATCATATATGGCAAGCCCAAGCCAGGTACTGGAAATAAGTCACTTTGTCTGACTTTTCTGGGGTATCCCAGGTTCTCTATACATACACTGATATGTATGATAATCTATGTAACTGTATTTGTGTATACCTGAATAAACTTAATTACTTCTAGTCTGTCAACTGAGTACAATAAACAGCCCATTCACTTATTTCAATTACCCAATAAATTTATTATTTTATTATTTTTATTATCACACTGGCCGATTCCCACCAGGGCAGGGTGGCCCGAAAAAGAAAAACTTTCACCATCA